GTGAGCCAACAGATAGAAGATCCATCTTTCTTTCTTCCTTTCAAATTCAGAGAGCCAGGAATTGAGTCTAAGAAAGTCTGCCTCCAGTGCCTACAAATTCAATCTTTACTCAAACAGAGTGCTCAAACATTCAAAATGGACCAACACAATATTTCAGAATAAATTAATGCAGTGGAGCTCTGCTACAAACATTGGTTTTATTGTAGCTACTATTGGTCTTTAGAATGTAAGATTTGTCTCCTTACTACTCAGTTTCAGTCAAGCAACATGAAGCAAAAATTGTATCTACTGCTGAGCACACAAACCGTTCCCCTTGGGAAGAGAATCAAACACGGCTGCTCTCCGCACAGCAACAGCTCACAGCCTGGAAGGCTCACCTGTCCCCTCACAGCCCAAGGGATGCAAACAGCACAGGAACCAGACAGCCTTCCTCCAGAGTAGCAGGTGTAACAAACCCAGAAACAAACTGCTTCAGCAAATCTGAGTACCACACCATATGGCACAGATCGTCACCTAAATCCTAAGTCAGCACTTCCGAACTTTTAGTGGAGGAATGCTCACATTAACACTGACCCCCCAGATAAGACACCATCTAGAGGGACTGTGCTTTTGGTATGAAAATTAAATTAAAACCACACTGACTGGAAGTGACTTATCTACTGACATGATGTGTATTAAGAATTGGCAAAAACAAAACAAAAAACTGCTTCCTTGTGTTCAGTGTCAAGAATACCCTTAGCTGCAGTCAGCAGTGAGTGATTTAAACATTTACAAAGACCGTTCAAGCGTATTAGGATGGGCTAGAGTACTGTTATAGTTCTAAGTGAGTACCTATTATGTGCACACGCACGTAAAGTTGGCAGCAAGTCAAAGGCTTATGAAGAAATGTCGTGCTTTATTCAGGTGCCTAGTGAAGTTATTTGTTTTCATCTTAATTCTAGAATAACAGTATTTGCTTCAAACACAGAATCATCTGTCAGATAAATAATATTATGAGTACCTAGTCCAAAGGCAATAGCAGGAAGAGAGAATGTATGTAAAATAGAAAAGTGACTCAAAGCGTGATTCAGTGCGATGTGAATGGTTTAACAAGCAAGCCTTTGATTTGTGTGGAGAAGTCTCTAGGAACAGCTGTGCAGCCAGCATAAAATGGCTGATTCACGTTTCATCAGAGAGCGGGAGGCGAGCTGAGATCATTCTAGACCACATCTCCTGATTTTACAGACACCAAAATAAGAGATCCACAGAGGTAAGGGTGCCCAAAGCCTGGCAGCTTGCGGCTGAGCCAGGTCCCACAAACCCCAGTGCTGATGTGACTACCCTAACGACCACCACACAATAACAAAACTGAGATAAATACCAAATAAGGTCTTCCTACGTGCCAAGTATCGGGATAAGCAGTTTATATGAATAGGTGGCTTACTTCTCAAAGCAAATCCTATGACATCAGGACTATCATTATCCTGACTGAATGTATGAAGAGGTGGCAACATGGTGAGACTGAGAAACGCGGCCTGACGCAGTGGGAGGCGGCAGAACCAGGTCGTGAACCCCAAAAGCCTGGCTTAGGAGCATCCATTCTTCAACTGCTCCAGCACACAGCAGTACGGTTACCTGTACCAGAGAACTGCGTGGTTCTACAGTGGGAAACCCGAGTGTGCAGGCTCCTGCCGTGCCTTTTAATCAAGAACAAAGCACAGTTGACGCTCTGACATTCTGCTGCTTCCGCGAAGCTCCCAGCTCTGGCTTTTCTTTGCTCTCTCAGTCCGTCTGTCTAGTTTGGAGAGCGGAGTGGAGAGGCTGGACGCAGTATCAATGACGCCATTATTCATCGAGCCTGACGAATAGGTTTGTTTCAGGAAATCTGTGCTTCCACTTGTACGCTTCCTCTATTTCCCACCACAGAATGAATGCTTCTCTCTTAACACTGCTATTCACAATAAAGAACTGCTTTGCTATATTTTTTTTTAATGAAGAAAAAGGAAATGAAATTCGTACAAAAACCAAATTAGTACGAAGCAACTAACCTATTAGTAATGCATTTAACTAGGCAGATATTTATAACAGATGAAAATTTCAAATAATAAGCAAGAGCTTTATTTATTGTTAAGGAGAGTGTGTGGGAGGCAGGGGGTATTGCATTAATAATTATCTAAAGAACAAGAAAAATTTCCCTCAAATTTTTAGGCACACATTGTGGTATGTGCCAAGAGACTATATTTTAGTATTGATATGATCACGCAACCTACAATTTAGCGAATATTACGCTACCAGTATAAACATTTATTTTTAAATAATTCTGAACACTTAAAAATATTACTGAAATATTTAACAATGAAGTACCACAGGCTCTTTGAATTACACAATTTAAAATATTTCTGGCTTTCTAAAAAAAAAGTTTCTTCTCTGTCCTGGAACATGAGTGACACATTCTAGAAGGCTAGAGTTGTCTCAAAGGGCAACAATGAGCAATGTGAACACAGAATTTTTGAAAAAGAATGATTAAGCAATCTTCTTTAATCATTATTTTAACTATATCATCCCAACGGCCTTTGATTTTTCAAAATAGTCTAAAAATCACAGTTTAGCGTTTTAAGATTTCCTGTTGTCTGGTCTCACTCAACATGTAGACAGATGTCCCCGGGTGTCCTCTTAAGGCAGGCAAATCCCAAGACGTTCAGAGCAGCACTGCGCGGGTGAATTAGTAGATGCTGGGTGCTAGTTTCAGTCTTGCATCTTTGCTTATGGAAAAGCCCAGTGAGCAGTCATTTGTAGCACTTCCCATTCATCAGCACATGAGGTTACCTCTTTAAGACACGCAATGACCACACGGTATAGATACTATCATTTCCATTTCAAGAACAGAAATCGCAGCTCAGAGAAAATAAAGAAATTGGCCAAGAGAACCAAAGCACAGGATGTGAGGGTCAATCCAGTCCCAACAACACGAACTTGCCATGGCACCACGATGCTTCCCTGTGTCTGAATGCCTTCTAGGCTCCCCTTTGACCAAACCCCATGCTTCACCCTTTTTTTTAAATGACAAGTTAAAATTATTAATTAATTAATATCATGAAAATATATATAGTGAAGTCCTGATACACAGGTATACTGGGAAGGCTAAATCAGGCTATTTAAAACATGCACCACCACTGAAGACTTATCTCTGGGTTTTTTGTCCCCCCAGCCTTGACTTTTATGTCTAGTGTAATCATTATGGTGCCTTCCTGGACCTATTCTTTAGATTTTCTACAGCATTTACAACTTGCAAAATTGAAATTTCTCACAATGCTATTTTATATGTATGTCCTTCACTTTCAAACTTACTTTCAAATTTCTCAAGGGCTTTCCTGGCCGGCAGCACAGGCATGGCATGAATTCTCTCTGGTCTCCTTGCTTATATGAGAGATACTGTTAGACACTGAGCTGAGGCTCACAGTGGGATGATAGTTAAATCACACAACACAGAACACGGGGTAGACTAGGGCTGTACCTTAAAAGACCTCAAATGGAGTCCAAAGAAGTATGATTTTCTTCAGATTGATAAGTAATGCTGGAAAGAATCTGGAAATTAACTCACTAAGACACAAGTATGTTTGACTGCAATTTAAATAATGTCAGTTGAACAGGGTGAAACACTGGGCCTTGGGTAGCCACAGTATTTATCCCATTTGTCTCTGACACAATTGGAAATGTTCTATTCTTGATTTAAATCTAAAAGCCTTCACTCAGCACAAAAATGCATCTAGGACTAAGGGGCAAGACAGATGGTTCCAGATGTTACAGAACGCATCATCAAAGGTCCCAAAGGGACAATGAAAAACAAACTAATTATAACTATCATTAAGAGCTACTTACTCACTTTAATAAAATATGTTCCTGAAGTGGCAAGAATGATGTCTGTTAGCTTTCGAAAAAAAAAAAAAACCAATGTCAACTTTTCAGCAAGTTTTCTTTATGTGGTGAGGAAAAAATCATCAATGAGCCACTAGAACTTCAGTTTACCTCCAAATCTCTTAGACTTATATGTTACCCTTGCTATATTTTTTAATTAAACGAAGAAGTCATTCAGCTAATGTTTTCCCACATAGCAACAAGGAGAAAACACTGAGACAAAATCTCTTGTCTGAGATATCTATCATATCAGAGTGTCTAGAGTAAGTAGCAAGCTGTATTCTTGAAAATTGCTGAGAGTAGATTTGTTCTCACCAGCAAAAAAAAAAGTATGTGAGGCAATTCAAATGCTAATTAGCCTGGTTTAGCCATTCCACAATGCATGCATAGTTTAAACCATCATGCTTTACACAACAAATATAAATAACCTGTGTCAATTAAAACAAAAATGTTTCAAAAGCTTAACTAAGAATTAGAACACAATCTGAAGAAAAGGAAACAACAGCTTCATCCACTAAAACAAACTTCCCTCTGAAATGGAAGCCATTATGACTGACTCCCAGGGAGGCCCAAAGTTCACCTCGAATGGCAAAAAGGAACTTTCTGTCATTTGTGTTGCATGGATGGGCATAGTGTCTTGGTGACCAGCAGGTCACTAAAGAACATGTCATTCCAGTTCATGTGACCATGATGGCTTAGGACATGCAGGACATGGTGAGATTCTGGATACCGAAGCATCTTATTCTTTGCTTCATCAACAGAGCATGGGCTTCCCTAGGGGTTAGTAACAAGGAAAGACAAGGAAAATCTTCTTCCTGTGACAGACACAACAGTGGCCATTTCCGGCCAGAGGAGGTTCCTCCAACAGCCTCACTCCTTATCCCTCCAGACCTCCTTTACACACGAAGAGCTGGAATGAAGCTTAGTGAGGTTAATGAAGATGGCCAAGACTCCTTAGAAACTGGCAGTCAGATTCTGAACCCTACCTAGAACTGGACAGAAGGTATATGAACTGCACAGGAGAAATGAGACTCCAGAACAGGTCATGACATTAGACCTAATGGAAGAAGAGACAGGGGCCCGACCAGTGCAGAGACTCAACTTACCTGCATATTTTGTAGTGTTAGATTCATCCATGGACCAAAAGCAATAATCAAAGGCAAATACCTGAATGAAAGAATAAAACACTAAACTTAAACACTAGTTAACTTCGTATAATTGTATCAGAATGCCTAAATAAATCAATTCACTTAGGGAAACGGGAAGAATGCCCACTACGGTCTGATTTAAAGTCTCTAGAGACTGAGTAGATACTTTTGTTGACTGTGACGTTTCTTTCAAACTAAATGTATGGTTACCTCCTTGCATTAGAGTAATTGTATATGAAAATTACTATTCATCCAGAACTCAAATAACCAGACATCTTAAACTGATTAAAACAAAACAAGGATACTTAAGCAATGACTTTTTCTTCCAAATCAGCAGTCCCATTGCCTGTTGGAACCTGGTTGAATCACCTATGGCTTCACAAGTAACCCATTTTTCATTTAAACCAGCTGTCCATTTCTGGCATAGCTGAAGCTCCAAACTACCCTGCCCTGCCAACCTTTGACATCTTCTCCCTCCTATTTCAGTACACAATCTCCTCCAAGTGACAACAGGTAAGTTCACAGTACACACTCACATGTCTTACTGTCCATACGGCTACTGAAAGCCTACCGTACACCAGCAATAGCTGATGTCTCTCCATTAAGACCCCCATCTAATTAGTGTTCCATCCATACTATCACTGCTTGAGTTTTAACTTATCAAATCTACAAAGAAATACCCTCTAAATAGTGTTCCAAAAGGACAGTATCTTCACAACAAAGCCTATAGGAAAAAATTAAAACCTGTTGGCTATGGGAGTATAATCTGAGATTTTCAGTGCAATTTGCAATACTGAAGACTCTGAGAGGTTCTCCAGCAAACAACTCATTCTTAGAGGTCAGTGCTGTGGCATAGCAAGCAAAGCCACTGTCCGTAATGCAGGCATCCCACATGGGTGCCAGTCTGTGTCCTTGTTTCTCTGCTTCCAAGCCAGTTTCCTGCTAATGGCCTAGGAAAAGCAGCTGAAGATGGTCCAAGTCTTTGGGTCCCTGTCATGGAGGAGACCTAGAGGAAGCTCTTGACTCCTGGCTCTGAACCATTAGAACCAGCCATCACGGCCATGTGGGGAGTGAATCAGCAGGCAGATAACGTCTCCTTCTCTTTCTCTTTCACTTCCAAATAAATACGTAAATAAATATTTTTAAAATAAATAAATACATAAATTTTTAAAAAGAAGCTTATTTAACTTGAGCTTTTTAAAATTTCCCCAGCTTATTTTGGGGCAGAGACCCATTTTTGGAGAACAATTACAATGCTTTAATGCTGGTGTTTCTGAGCACACTCCTTAGCACTCTGGCCAATGACTCAGCAGCCTCTTTCCTGGGCTCCTTGCTGTACTAGGGGCCTTTCTTTCTGCTGCAGTTCAAGCAGCAAGGTGCACACCTCCCATGGACAAGAATCCTTCGATGCTTCATCATCCTCAAGGGCTCTGTGGTGTGGCCTTTGAGGATGGCCGCAGCGAGGCCCTTCAAGCCCAACGTCACTAATTCCTTTGTGCTGCAGGAGAACTTGTGTTTCCCCCCACATTTAGTAACTCTTCATTTCTCCCCTCATTTTACACTTCTTAAGGCCGGGTTCCACACACTCTTCTTTCAGGAAGCATTCCTTGGTAAGACTAAAGGAATTTTCTTTTCCTTCTCTGAAACTTCACAACATTGTTTAAGCTTTCCTAGGGCTACAATCTCAATTCTTCTATTTTTCACCCACCATGTATATGATCTGTGCTTTGTCTCTACTTGTGCACCAAATTCCTTAAAGGCAGGAGGCATGCCTAATTCATCTTTGAAGCCGGCAACAGTCTCAGCAGTTGTCTTATAGTTTCTTACCAAGTGATTAACGGCACTGAGGCTGTGCAAGGCCACAGACTTCAATAGACTAAATTCTGCTCCGAATAGTGTCAGCACTACACATACTCAATTTTGACGCTTTTAAAACTGATTCAGGAATACTTGTATAGGACACACACAACCTGTATCGTTAACCTGGTCTCCAAATTGAATTTTCTTACTTCTACTCTGGTCTTAACAACTGACCGAGTTTCAAATGCAACAGCCATGAAACAGTACTTCCAGCCAGCAGTGCGGAATATTTACGGCATTTCAAGGGCCGTTCCAAGGACTCCAGAGACCACACAGGCGTAATCCAGTTAATCTTCCTGCCTCTGGGCAGAAATGAACTTCAACGCTTTTTCTGAGAGATGAAGTTTTGTCTTGTTTTAAAACATTTCCAGAAAAGGAGATTCCACGACCTCCCTCTAATGGTATCTTATAATAATACTGAATTTCTGTTCTTTCTTTTTGTCCAAAGTCAACTTTTTTTTTTTTTTTTTTTTACTTCAAATGGCCTATCGAGGATATTTCTCAATGAGGATCTTTGCTGTTTTCCCTTAAGAGTCGCAGGGAATTGTCTGGATGGTGCTGCCCGTTGTGGGAAAACTGCTGAGTTCCTATATGCTAATTTTCATGTCTCTGTTTTTGCCCGCACAGTAAAGCTGCTTGAACTAACATGAAACTCACCTCTGATTTTATCAGTAAAAATCAGCCTAAATTTTATGACAACTCCCTAATCAAATTGTTACTTCAACCTGTCTTTAACCAATGAAAAAGAAAAGATGAGATTTTTTTTTTTCATTTTAAAATAGCAAAACCCTGCGGAGGAGAGACAGGGTCCTGAGGTGGTGGTAGACAGGACTTCTTTCCTTACTAATACTTGCTCCTACTTGAACTACATTTTGAATTTAAAAATCTTTGATCACTGGCATTTTAGGATGGTGATTCCTGAAAGCAGAACTTTTAAAAACAAGAAGAAAGTTATAGTCCAAAAATATTGAGTGTTACCCCAAAACTTAAAGCAAGCAAATATTTTAAAAATTCACTGTTACTTTGTTCTTTAGCCTCAACTGGAAGTGATTCCCAAATCCCTTTTCTCTTCTGTGAGATCCTAAAACACACTGTAGCACCCCGGCACTTCCAGCACTGTTCTTCTCTGCAGGTATCCTTTCTAACCATAACTGGTGATTCATTCATTTCTATTTGAAAAGTGGAGTTTTACAGAGAAAGAGGAACAAAAAGGTCTTCCCTTCATTGGTTCACTCCCCAAATAGCTTGCAACAGCCAGAGCTAGCTGATCTGAAGCTGGGAGCCTGGAGCTTCTTGTGGGTCTCCCACATGAGTGCAGGGTTCCCCAAACTTGGGCCACCCTCTGCTGTCTTCCCAGGCATAAATAGGGAGCTAGACTGAAAGTGGAGCAGCTGGGACACTAGCTGGTGCCCATATGGGATGCCAGTAGCAGAGGGCAGAGGATCAGCCTGCTCTGTAACCATCCCTGCTCCTCTCAGGAGCTTCTTGGAGGCAGGGTCCATGAAACTTATGATGCCTGGCTCTGAACTCTCTGCAGGGCAGGCTCTGCACAGAATATTTTTCCAATTAATAAAGAGACTACTCAGGGAAGGAGCTGGAATGCAGACAAGAGCACTCAGTAGACGTGAGCACTTAGGCATAAGCAGGTGTCAGGTCACAGGAAGCACTTTAGTTGTTTCATTGCTTTCTGATGCTTGTTTTGGGGACAGTTGGTTCCTTCACTGGTCAAACATGGATGTGGCTAACAGGACAAATACTGGGGTCTTGCTTAACCCCAGCACTCCTTGGTTCAGGTGGAGAAACAAATGTAATCACACCAGGAGTAACTGGCAGTTTCGCAGACTTCACAACTAATCATCCCTAGAGAAACTTCTATCTGTAACCAAGTCAGTTTTACAGGTGGTTAACGTCATCTTTGCTTTAGGAAGCCTGATCACATGGTCAGAGTTAGACTCCTGTGAGCACTGCAAACTAAATCTTCACACACCATTCTCTTCTTCAAGGCTGAAATCTACTTGTGATTGAGTAACATCAAGGTTGTTAAATAAACAGACACGATTGTATCACAGCAGTTTGAGTTTTCAATACAAAATTCAATGACATTCATGGGGCTGGCATGACGGCACGGTATACTAAGCCTCTGCCTGTTGTGTCAGAATTTCATAAGGGTGGAGGTTTGAGTCCCAGCTACTCTACTTCTGATTCTACAGTAACGTGCCTGGGAAAGCAGCAAATGATGGCCCAAGTTTCTGGTCCCTGTATCCTCGTAAGAGACTTGGAAGAAACTCTTGGTGTTAACTTCGGGCAGGCTCAGCTCCAGCAGCCATTTGCAGCCATTTGGGGAGTAAATCATCATCTCCCTCCCTATCTCTTTCCCTTCTCTCTGTAAGATCTCTCAAATAAAAAGAAATAAATCTTTTTAAAGAAATTAAAAATTAAACTTCTAACTCATTTCTTTAGAATTCCTAAATGTTGGGCCCGAAGGCATGGCCTAGTGCTGAAGTCCTCGCCTTGAACGAGCCAGGATCCCATATGGACACCGGTTCTAATCCTGGCAGCTCCACTTCCCATCCGGCTTCCTGCTGTGGCCCGGGAAAGCAGTCGAGGATGGCCCAAAGCCTTGGGACCTTGCACCTGTTTAGGAGACCCAGAGGAGGTTCCTGGATCCTGGCTTTGGATTGGCATAGCATCAGCCATTGCGGTCACTTGGGGAGTGAATCATTGGACGGAGGATCTTCCTCTCTGTCTCTCCTCCTCTCTGTATATCTGACTTTCCAATAAATAAATAAATCTTTTAAAAAAAAAAGAATTCCTAAATGTTTGTTTAATTTATTCATTATGAAGTCACTAGTAATAGAAGTGCTGGGAGACAGGAAATCTTTCATTGCACACATCTAGGTTAAAAGAAATCAAATAGGAACCAAGTTTAATTATGTTTCGTCAATGTCCACCTGTAGGAACATTCTGTGTAAACACATTCAAATCCTTTTGACTATTTAAAAGAAAGCCAAAAGTACAGATATTCTACAATTTGTCCTTAAAATCTGAAAGCCACTGTCCTTAAAAAATTCAACTCTGCCTTCGCACAATCCCACAATCCTATTCCTTCCTCTAGGGTTGCATCTGTAAAATCGTTCGAGGGAACCAGCTCTGAATTCC